TGCCCGGGTGACCGAGGGCACTGGGAGGGGCGGCGGGCTCGGATGCCGGGGGCCGCGAGCGCCAGCCCGACCGCAACCCGAGGGCAAGGCTGAAAATAGCCGCGGTTTCCAGCCCGTGCCCGGCCTCCCTCCCGGCCTTCCGGACCTTTGGGATTTTCCCTCCCTTCTTCCCGCCGCCTTCTCCTCTGCCCCGTGGCCCCTGCCCCCTCCCCGCTGTGCACCCACCACACCCAGTCCCACGCAGCCGGCCCAGGGGATTAGCGCTGAGGTCCAGGGTTCCAGAAGTCGAATGATCACAAAAATTAAGTTAGGATTAATTGAGCACATACTATGTCCCAGGCACTGTGCTGAGCTCTGTAAGGATGAGCATTTATGAAACATTTACCACCACCAGATGAGGGGTGGCTCCGACTTGCAGATGGAGAAACTGAGGCTCAGAGAAGACTCCTTGGGTCCTAAGGTCATCAGGTTTGGTCTTGCAGAATGGAAAGCTATCTTCTCTGTCCAGAGACCAATGCTGTTACTCGGCTTCCAGCCCTGTGCGGCTTGCCCTTGTGGGCTAAGGCCCCAGGGGAAGTTGGGAAGCAGCTGACTGTGGACCCTGGATGCCAGTCGGCCACCAATTCTCAGTGTAACCTAGAGCAAGCCCTACCTGCTGGAGTGTGAAACCCAGTGTCTCTACATCTGAAGGGGCCATTAATCCCTGTAATTTTCACAACAGTGGAAAACCCCAAAAGGAATGTGAGCTATTAAGTGCCCTGCTTTCAGGAAAGTTCAGCTGTGTAGAGGCAGACCCACAGACCAGGGCTGGCTGTGTCAGAAAGGGCTGACCTGGGCAACCTGCATTTTAGCAAATGCAGGGATTCTGAAACCATCAGGCTGGATTCACCAAAGAGGTTCCTGGAAGGGGGTGGAGGTTGTATGTCCCCCCCCAAACCTCCAACTGCCCTTAGTCATCTCTGTCTTCACTGGCCTGGACTCAGTGATTGCAGATTTCTTAAGGACCCCCTGTGCGCCCAGCACACACGTCATAACCCCACTCTCAGTGCTCTCGTGGCATAATACTGCAGATTGACAGAGCTCTCCTCAGCCCAGCTGATCCCTCTGGGAGAAAGGGAGCCAGGTGAGCAGAGTGAGGGCTGGGTTTCACCTCCACTAGGCCATCGGCAGCCTCCTCTGTGCGGAACATAACCTGCACAAACTCTCACCACAGCCCATGCAGAGCTGCAAGAGATATGAGTGGGAGATACTGGGGAAACCCAGGCAAGGGGCCAAATCATTCTTGCTGGAGTCAGGAATAGAGACAGAAAAATTCTACTGAGGGGGTGACCATTAAGTGGACCTTCAAGGATGGTTTACCAGGTGGAAAAGGAAGTCCAGGCAGAGGCAACAGCCAAGGACAAAGCATGGGGCAGGAATCTTGTCCTGTCTGGGAGCAGGTGGTGAAGCTGTCTGGGGGCAGGAAATGGCTTCCGGGCAGCCTGGGAAGGGGACACCGCCTTCTTTCACTCCTACCTCTTTGCTGGCACATAGCAAACCGAACCAAGCTTATCTGCCAACCAGAGGTCTCCTTTCCTAGAGGCTGAGATGCTGTAGGACAGAGACGGTGTCTTATTCATCTTCTGTGGCCCAGCGCCTCACCCAGTGTCAATAATAGTGACAGTAATGATCGTTAATGGGAATTAAATATTTACCATCAGGCACTGTGCTAAGTGCGCCACATGCATTATCTCATTTCATCCTCAAACAACTTTGGAAAGGAGGGCTATCAATAATCCCATTTTACAGATGAGATTCTAAGGTTTAGAAAGATTAAGTAATGGGCCTAAGTTCATACAGCTATTTAGGGGCGGAGCTCGGAATGGACTTCAGGTCTCTCTGACCATGGGGCCCTTGTTCTACACTGATACATGGACAGACAGATGGACAGATGGGTGGGTGGGAGACAGAGAGGAACTAAGTGGAGAAGGGCCCTGAGTGCCATGCTAGGGAGCTTGAGCTTTATGCCAAGGGCAATGGGGAGACACGGGGAGGTTCTAAGCAGAGAGAGACAGGGTCAGGGTTGGGCTTTTAAAATAACACTTTGACAGCAGTGGGAAGATAGTTTAGAGCTGATGATGCTTGAGCAAGAGGCCATTTTTCTGGCAAATATCAATTTCTGCTTGTGAGGAGCCTCCTTTCTTTAAGTATTGCCTTAACTCTTCGGGCAAGACATGTGCTTCTGTGCACACATGGGGACTCCTGATGGAGCGGAACGCCGAGGAAGGGGTTCAGGGACGGGAAGGGGAGACAAGTGGTAGAGTACTAAGTTCTGGGGAGAGGTCTGTCTTACGGGGTTGGGGGGAAGCCAGGCAGTCCCCCTGCCCCATTTCTAAGATGACAGGGCCCCACCGGGGCCTCCAGTCAGGAAGCCGGAAGCTCCAGTCCCCGCATACCTGCCTCCAGAGGGAACGCAGCCAAAGGTGAGGCGGTGTCGCAACAGAGAGTTAAGCCCTGAGATCAATGGAGGAGGCGGCAGTGGAAGAGGTCTTGTCCCTTCTCTGGGCAGCTGTGATATCATTGGCTTTTCCAGCCAGGGAGGAGGGGAGTCCCGGAAACCGCCCCCAGGCTCAGATAAGCTGAAGGAGCAGAGTAGCCAGAAGGACTGAGAACAGGTGGAGTTTCTCCCACCTACCGAGGAGCCAGAGAGAGAGGACCAGCCTCCTCAAGGCGGTCTTCAGGCTGTGAGGGGCTCCCGGAGGGTCGCTGGGCAGAGTAGCGCTCACCATGCAGCTCTGCCTCACCCTGCTCCTCCTGGCGGGGCTGTCTGCATGTACTGTGGCAGGGGACAAGGAACTGGCACTCGACGCTGAAGCAAGGTCCTGGGTAACCGTGACCCTGGAGGTAGGTAGCACTGGGGAGAGGCTGGGGGTGGTCCATGGAAGATCCCCTTTATGGTTGCCAGGAGAGCAGGTTACACACTGCAGAGCAGGGTGTCTGCCTCCCCTCTCTCTCTGTAGGTTCAAAGCCACAGCTCCTGGCCTGACAGAACTCCAAAGGGGCACATGCATATGAAGCAACAGCATGTGTGTGTGTGTGTGCGCACGCGTGCACACTTATGCTTTACTTAACATTTATTATATACTATGTTTCTGGCACTGTCCTAAGTGCTCCATAAGTATTAACCCATTTAATCTTCATATCAACCTTGTGGGGAAGGTACCATTTCTATCCCCATTTCACAGATAAGGAAACTGAGGCACAGAAAAGTCAAGCAGTTTGTCCAAGGTTATGCAGCTTCAAAAGCACAACTGTACACCTTGCCCAAGGTCTGAGTCTATGTACCTGTGCATCAGAAGACATTTTCCAGAATTTCCTTTCAAGGGGTCAACTTGGGGTGAGATCACTGTTTTATCTCACATGTAGAAACTCTTATTTCCTGACAAGTACTGGTTTGATTGTCAGTTTCTAAAAGGACCCAAGTGCTGTCACTCGGAAGAAATCTGAAAGTTAGAGACACAGCATCTGGGCCCCACCCCATTTGGTCAAGGAGACAAAGGTCCGACCTCAGGGAGTTCCCAGACAGGGGAGCGAGGACGCACACCAGAGATGAACAGGCCTGGTGCTAAGGGAAGGCTTCCAGGAGGGCAGACAGAACAGGGCTGGGCCGGGCTCCTCCCAGTCCTGGTTTGGTGAGGACACTGGGGCCACAGGAAGTGAGGAAGAGCCATCGAATAAACAGCCATTGGTGGTGGTTTTCCTTCGTGGTTTGTCTGGATGTGGAAGTGTGTGTAGGTGAGAAGATGCAGGAGAGAGAGACCCAGGTTCAAGTCTCAGCCTCTCCACTGACTCTGCCATCTTGGGGAAATCATTGCTGTTCTCCGGACATCAGTTTCCTCACCTGTAAAATGGGGGGAGGGGGAAGATGTTCCTGAAGGGTTTTTTTCCCCCTAGTTTTGACATGCTTTATGGAGTTGGAGTCTGTGCCAAACCTCAGGGGACCTGGCCCAGGCCCAGGGAAGCCAAGCTGGGTGGTGGGGGGCTCCCTACACAGCCATGTGGGAAACATCCTCACCAACTTCAGCTAGCGCTGCTGGGCTTTCTTTTCCACCTGCAAGCACCTCACCCTGCAGCTGGATCTCATGCTTCTTTTCCCTTCACTCTCATTTAACATCTCTCTGCTTCCTGAGACCCAGGCTTGGGATATAGGAACCATTAATCTAAGTGAGGTGACAGAAGGAGTGGTGGCTCTGTCAGGGATGATCTGACCACCTCCCTAGCTCCCAGGGCTCCCCGCCTGCAGTGAGCCCTGGAGCTGGGGATTTGGGTTCAACAGATAAGGAGGGCTTCTGGTGAGCGCAGCGGAGCAGGGGTCCTTTCTTTTTTTTTTTTAATGGAGGTATTAGGGATTGAACCCAGGACCTCATGCATGCTAAGCATGTGCTCTACCACTGAGCTATACCCACCCCCTACAAGGGGTCCTTTCTGAGTGAAAGATGCTTCCTAATGGCCCCCAGGAATCGGGTGGGTGGAAGAAAGATGAGTCTTATTTAATTCATAAAAAGCCATTCTCTCCAGCTTGCATTTGAAGACTGCCTTTTACCAAGGCAAAGTGGTTTTCATAAGCTTTTCAGAAATGGGTCCAAATCTCCAAAGACACTTTTCTGGTTCCTGGCCAGGCTAGGCGACTCCAGCCCCAGACAGCCGCCCCAGCCATTGACGTCCTGGGGAGGAGACAGGTTGGAAGTGACTGAATTAGTCCAAGGCTTAGAAAACAATCCACTCCTGACCCCAAAAGTTGGGACAAGACAAACTGTGAGAGGTGAAGCGGTTTCCACTGAACCCCAGCCAGGCCCCTGCTGGTCCCAGGAGCTCCAGCACTGCCTCATCAGAACTGGAAGTGGAAGAACAAGCCCCTGATCCAATCCCAGCTCCCAGCCTCCTGGCAGGTGGCTTGCATTACTCTAAGGCTCCGTGCACCTGTCTCAGCCTTCCTAGAAAAGGAGACCCCATCCTCTCCCCTATTCCAGATTGTCAGAGAAAGGGCCCTTCATTCAGTGTCCTGTCTCCCAAAAACGCTCAGATCCTGCTTGTACCCAGCACTGTGGCAGGTACTAGGGACACAGAGATGTGAAGATGGTCTAATGAATGTCACCCACTGTTACTCTCTCCCTCTCAGCAGAGCTGAGCAGACCCTTCATCAGGGGCTCTAGTGAAGGCCAGAGAAGGAGAGGACTTTGGCAAAGGTCACGCAGGCTAATGGAAGAATGAGAACTTCAATCCATCACAGACACAGAAAACAAACTTATGGTTACCAGTGGGAGAATGTGGGTAGGAAGGCATAAATTGGGAGTTCGGGATTTGCAGATACTACTATATAAAAAATAAACAAGGTCCTACTGTATAGCACAGGGAACTATATTCAATATCTTGTAGTAACCTACAATGAAAAAGAATATGAAAAGGAATATATGTACATTTATGTATGACTAAAACATTATGCTGTACACTAGAATTGACACATTATAAACTGATTATACAATTAAAAAAACAAATAAATAAATAAGTAAAATTAATTAATTTAAAAAAATAACTTAAATCCATGGTCCTCGGTCCAGAACTTTCACCCCCTCAGCTCAAGGATGGAAATGTCTTTGCCTGGGGTAGTGGCCTTCACATGCCATGACCCTCATGGAGGCCCAGGTTCTAGGGCAGGATAAATCAGGACCTGGGGGGAGTGCAGGGGAAGAGAGGAGAGCAGGAGTTAGAGTGGGCATTGTACTGGGTGCTCACCTTGAGTTCACCAGCTGCCCTCTCCTTGTCTATGTTGAAGACATTTCCCAAGATGGAGCAGAACCCCTGCTCTGGGGTCAGACTCTCTGAGTCTGGGTCCTGGCTCTAGCATCTCCTGTGGGACCTGGGACAAGTCACTTAACCTCCACAAGTCTGTTCCCCAATCTGTAAAACAGCGATAAATCATAGTCCCTACTTCATATGGCGGTTGGGAAGAGGAACTGAGACTATGACTGACATGTTTCAGCCTCTGAGCCAGGTGACCCGGGTTCTGCCTTCACCTCTTACATCCTCACTGGCAATCTCTCCGTGCCTCAGTGTTTTCATCTGTGAAATGGTGACAGTGATAGTACTTACTTCATGTGGTTTTGGTGAAAATTAAGCGAATTAATATATGAAAAGTCCTTGGAACAGTGCCAGGAACATAGTAGGCAAAAGGTTAGCTATCAATTATTAAGTATTGTGTAAAATATGCTAAAGAGCTCTGTGCCATCACAGAGCAAGTGTTAGTGAGGTTGTCATTGCTCATGCTGTCTCCTCGCTAACCTCCCCCAAGTCTAACAAACCCTCTGCTTCTTCAGGAAAATGCTGTTCCCAGCATTCAGCTCCAGCCCCGGGAGGTGAAGAGGGGCAAAGCCAGCCAGTTCTTTGGGCTGATGGGGAAGCACGTGGGAGGTGAGTGACAAAAAGTGGGTGGGTGCCCAGCGAGGAGGGCTTCTGAGTGGGTTCTGTCACATCAAGCAGAGCTTAACGCCCGGGACCAAGCATCCCTCACTCCAGTCCAGTAGGGGTCGCTTGCGCGATGGTGGTGGTATAGAGTGTCCATAGCAATTACCATCCGAACCAGGACACTTTGGAGATTGTTAATTATGCCAGGCAACAGTGCAAACCAGGGCTGTCTCCAGCGTCTGGGGAGTGTGGTGGGGACAAACGCTTTGCACCCTACTGGTGCCCTTGCCTTCAATACTATGGATGACCATGGAGAGAGGTGGAGCTGGAGATCAGCCACTAGGTGTGAGTAAAGCTACAGGCAAAGCTTTCTAGTCGATTCTGTCTGGCTCAGACAGAGTTGGTAAAATGAACCTGTGTTCTCTGAGGGCACGCTTAATGCGGGATTCATGTCCTGGGGGGACAAGGAGAAAACAGTCTGAACAGAGAGCAGTTTTCTTTTTCTTATTGTCAATATTGTATATGTTTTTAAGTGGTGTTGGTGAGGATACGAAAAAAAACCTGGCACTTTTCTATACTGCCTTATTTGGAAGATGTGTTGGCAATATCCATCAAGGTTGGAAATGTGCATACATTTTGACCAATAGTCTCATTTTGGTCGTATAGGGAATCTAGCAGATAGAAATACTGCTGATACATGAACCCTGAGGTATTTGGACCAGGGCGTTCATTGCCAACATGTTTGTAGTAGCAAGAATTTGGAAATAACATAAAAACCACTAATGGGGGAAATGGTCAAAATCTATTAGGCACGTCCATAGCCTTTGTGGCCGCTAAAATGGAGGAGGCAGATCTCGGGAAAGACATAGAAATAGCTCCAAGATACTGGTTCAGTGGAAAAAGCAAGTTCTATAACAATATGTAGGATGGGAACCTACGTGTTGTCTTAAAAACACCTACATACTTACACACATATATATGAAAACATAGGGGGAGTTCGAGAAGGATAAATATCAAACTGTCAACGGTATTCATACCTAAGATAGGAAGTGGAGGTGAGGAAGAGTTAAGAGGGACTTGAAGTTTTACTACACTGACCTCTACATTACTTGATTCTTTTTATAGCGGGAGTGTATTCAAAGACTGCTTTTGTAATTTTAAAAAATGCATTAAAAAAAGAAAACCAACTTGTGACCAAACACTTTTAGCCTGAATTTCCTCTCTACATGAGTTTGGGATGGGCCATTTCAGAATTCTCTTCCAAATCCAACAACCTATGGGGAAGCAGGGTGTGAGGGTATAAGAGAAATATTTATTGAGCACCTACTATGCTCACATGTGATGAGATCTCACAATATCCTCTTTATCACCAGCAGGGGAACTAAGGTTCACAGAGGTTAAATATTTCCCCAAGGATGCCCAGCTAGTGCCAGGCACCAGTGACTTCAAAGTACGTGCACTTCCCACTACACGTGGCCTCCTACCAAGTGTGTGTCTTACGTGGCCCAGCTACATGACTGGAGTTCCACCAAAGATGTACCAAAGGCCTGGGACCCCGAAAAGCCATGAGCCCTTGCCACCTCACTGTGCCCCCCAGGGAAGCAGTGCAGCCCTCATTCCTTCTCACTCTTTCCCCAGGAATACCTCCCAACCAGCCAGAGAGAGCAGGTAAGTTTTGTCTAGACTTTTTCTCCCTACACTCCCTGGGGAGGATTGAGTTGTCCAGGGAGGTGAGGGGATGCTCTGGCCAGAGCGCGTGTCAGGCCAACATGTGGAGGGTGGGGCCGGCATGGTCCGGCTGCAGGCTGGGGCTGGGCTTCCTGCTTGTTTCCTTAGAGAGATGCTCTCTGCCTGCCCAGGAAGCAGCCGCGGGGACAAGGAGACAGGGATGAATCTAGTTCTGCCAAAGCTTCAAAATTACCTTGGGTCTGAAGCCTGGAGTTGGAAAAACAATTCAATCCATCCTGCACATGGAAGGATCTTAAAAATGAAAATCTGAGCAGCTTAAAACCCTTTGGGTGGAAAGGGAAAAACAAAATCAAAAGAAAACAAACCAATCTTTACCATAACCCTTCAGTGCTCTCGGGAGCAAACCTCATGCCCTAACGACCCAGCACACCCTCCTGGCTGTCCTCACTGCCTGGACTCCCGGCTCCGCCTCCCCTTCCCTGAGCGCCTGCCCTGCCCAGAGCTTGCCTCCGTGGCCTGGGCACCGTGCCTCCTCCGCACACCGCCCTGCACTCATCTGCTGGGTCACACGGCTGGTGTCCTCAGAGTAGAACACTCTCCTCTCCCATGGGCAGGGAGAGGTCTGCCATCTCCTGTGTCCCCATGACACCCAGCAGTTTTATTAGAGGCACCCACGAGGTGTCTGTGGAAGGAAGGGCATAAGGGAGAGAGCATGGAGGGGAAAGAGGAAGGAATCTGTGAATGAATCAGTGAATGAATGAACCAGTCCACAGTCTTTCCTCAGCTACGCAGGCTGATTGAGAAATGACTCCATTCGTGAGGTCCCAGCTCTGGCCTGTATTTCTTGGTTCCCAAGAAAGCCTTCCTCTGCTGCACCCTCTCTTCTTTATCTCCGCTCTCCATCACCAGGGTATCTGCGAGGACCAGTGGTCCAGGGCCTCCTGGACAGGGGACGACCATCTACAGAAGGTAGGTGAGAGCTTTTACTGGATTGCAAGGGCATCCTGAGGAAGGACCAGGTATTTTGCTGCCAGTCTCTGCGGTAGGGGCCAGGCAGCTGGACAGGCAGAACAGGCTTCCCACAAGCTGCAAGGAAGGGGCCCCATGGAAGAGAGCAGTCAAGGCGCTGGGAGGTGGTCCCTTTGATGATCCAGGCCTGAAGCAGCTATAACCCTGAAGCTGCACCCTCTCCACCCCCCACCCCTCACCAACAGGCACACTCTGCTCCCTGCTCTGAGGGCCTGCTGAAGCCACAGAGAACGGTGTGGGGGTTTTTAGACCCTGGAACATCCCCCTTATTCCCTCACTAATCATTGTTAGAAAACCTGAAGATATATCCTGTCTTCAACAATTGTAAATAAGTGCAAATCACCCTGGGAGGGATAGCACCCTAAGTGGTTATCAGCTAACGCCTTCTGGCAGGGGGCCACAAAGTCACACAGTGAACTGATAACAGAGCCAGAACTAAATGCTGTGTCTCCTGCTCCCTCGTCCAGGGCATATCCCATGTCCCCAGGAGGGCCTCTGGCATTCTGAGTACTGGGTTACCACTCCCCCTCTTTAGAGAGGAAAACTGAGGATTGGCCCGTCCACACTCTGGAGGCATTTATGATGGAAAAATGGAAGACGTGGCAGGTGAACCTGTAATCTGATTGCCCTAGCTATCTGCAGCCAGAGAAACCTGGGCTAGGGAAACGGAGGGCCTCCGGGGGTGGCGGAGCCAGGCAAGCCTCCCCTAACCCTCGCCCATGTACAGCACTCTTCCCAGGCAGAGAGGATGAGGACCACGGGTCAGAGTGAGAGCCCCCACCACACGCTTCCCAGACGACGAACCCCCCCCTTTCTCCCTACCTGGACATTATAACGAACCAGCTGGCCAGGCCAGCTCTCTTCTCCGTGTCTCCTGTGCTCAACGCCGGTGTGTCCCTCCCACCAGGCCCTCACTGAACTCACTGGGGCTCCTCCCAGGACTCTTGGTCTCAATCGGCGGTCATGCATAAATTCCCTGTTGTCACCACTGTGAGCAAATGACCCTGCCCACCTCCACCCCCAGCACTCAGCTCTCCTCTCACTGCATAGCAGGACTGAGCCTCCCCACTCCTGTCTCCCGTGCCCAGGGCCACATCAGGGGCTCAATAAACCAATGAGTAGTGAATGGTTTCTTCTCTGGTTCTGGGGCAGAGGGCGGGGATGGCCTGGGCTCTGCACCCTGCCCGGCGGCCTGGCACGTCAGCAGGCCGGGAGGCCTTTTCCAGAGTTGTAAAGGGAAATCTCAAACGGCCGTGGTTCTACCCGAAGGTGGGAAGACAGGCTTGGGACATTGGTAAGGGCGACACCCCCTCCCTACCTACCGTCATAGCCTCAAGGACCCAAATCCATGTGTCTTTGGACTTGGAGAAGAACTGGATTCCAGGGCCTTCGTTAATACTCACGTATGGAGTAGCCCTCCAACTAACTGCTGTGCTTCTGAGACACAGGCAGCTAGTCAAGCTCTGAGCACTGGGAAGAGCTTTAGAGAAATGAAATAGTTCCCGTCTCAGGGAGCCCCCAGTCTGATGGGGAGACCACTGTCCTGCCCCAGTGGTTCATAGACAGGTGGGACACAGAGGACCCCAGGATGCTTAGAAAGAGCCAGAATGAAATCCTGGGGGACAAACCTAGGTAATAAGCCTAGAGATGAACAAAGGAGTGAGCTGGGAGCTGTGCGAGTTCCACAGTGAAGGACGGTTCGTTAGTTCACTAGGCTGCATCACATTTTGCATCTCTGCATCCCTCTGTCCAAAAAGAAGGAAATGGTTTAGGAGTTTGAGGGGGCACCTGACTCTTTAGGGGGTGGGGTTGTTAGGCTGTTTAAAAGGAGGGGAAGAAGACATGGGTGGAAACAGCAGGCCCCTCATCTGGGTGCTAGAGAAAGGTTTGCTGACAGCAAAGGCCCTGAGGCCAGTGTGTCAGCACAACCAGTAAGGTTCTTCTAGTCAACGTGTAGTGAAAGAATCTCTATCCTAAGGCTCACTCTTCGTCCTGAGCTCTGAATAAACCCCAGGCCTCCTGTCCTCATCCTTACACCATACCATGTCCGCTGAGAAATACGGAAGTGGGCGGCGGTGCAAGCCACCGCCTGACAGTGCAGAAGCCCCCAGGGTACCCTCACCCCTTCCACTGCTAACCTCCCCCACCAGGCACTGGTGCCTTGGCCATCTCAACACCCAGTGCTGTGGTCCCAGGAGGTCGGTCACTGTAACAAGCCAACCTGAAGGAGTGGCAAAGAGGACTGAAGATTTTATTCCTGTGTCTGAAATTTGGGACATTTAAGAAAAACAAGTTACCGGATATTTTGTAAATTTCCTCTCTATGCTGGTACTTTTTTGGGCACTTAGACGGGACTGGAAGTATCAGAGATGGAATTTGTCCTCAAAGACCTACCGACTGTAGAGAGCAAGGGAGAGGTGGTCACTCTGCAAAGGCCAGCCCCTGCTCTCCAACGATCCTTTTTAGACCCATCATGTTCACACAAGCTGCTTTCTGCACATGCCATTCTCCTCCCGTTCTAGTGAATTCTTACTCAGAGGTCAATTTCTCTGTAAAGCTCTCCCAAACTGAGAACTACCCATTCACTCTCTCCACCGAGTTCCCAAAGTGCCTGCACCTTCCTCCACCACAGCACGAATGTGATGTTAAAATTAATAGTTTTATCTCCTCAACAACAGGGTTACTCAAGTATACAGACCACTTCTCATTTATCTTTACCCCAGTGCCAATGATAGTGTTCAGCACATAAGAGGTCCTTGGAGAGGATTCACACTTCCTGTCCTCAGGGAGTCTGTCTCTAGAGCCACGAGGGAGCCAAACATAATACAAGTAACTGAAATAAACAGCAGTGACTGTTCAGTGAACACATATCCGGTAGTTCTCAAACTCAACATGTCCAAATGCTGAACTCTTGACCTACGGCCCCAAAGCTACTCATGGTGGTCAGCTCTTGTCTACAAGTGGCACCTCCAGGTACCCTGCTGTGGGCTGGAAACCTGGGAGCCACCCTCTACTCCTTGCTTCCCCCATCTAAACACATTTCCTAGTTGTTGGTTCTTCCAGATCTGTCTAGAATTCATCTTGCCACCTTCACTACCACTGGTAACACAAGGCATCATCTTCCCTTGCCTGTAGGGCAGCAGCCTCCTGAAAGACTTCCTTGCTTCCCATCTTACTGCCAGACCCACCCCCCTCCATTCTCCGCCCGGAGCATGACCGTCCACTACTGGCCACACTTCAGTTTCCTAGATAAACCTGATATTCTCGTCCTTGGCCTCCAAGGCCCTGTGCTCTCTGATCCTTCCCCCTCAGTCTCCTTACTGGCTCCAGGCAGAATTTCTCAGACTACCTGCTTGCCTGCTTTGAGGTCTATGCTCAGGCTCTCCCCTATATGAACACAGCCCTAGTCCCTCCACACACCCCTCCCTTGGCTAACTCCTCATCTTTCAGGCCCCAGGATAAAGTAAGAAAGGCTCTTTTTCAGCCAGGGCTTCCTTGATAATCAAGCTCAAGGAGTTCCCTCCAGTTATGCTCACACAACACCTTGTCCTTCACCCTTCTTCGCATGGATCACAACTAGAAATCCTCTGTATTTAGTATCGATGTCCTCCAGGAGATTTAAGTTCTACATTTTTGTGTACAAATGAAATGTCTGTAATGTATCTGGCATCCTGCAAGACAGTTTACCTCCACAAGTACCCTCCTCACTCTGCAGACACCCTCACTCTACACCGGAAATGGAAGGATTTGAGCCAAGGGTCCTTCACTCCAAACACACTCAACTCCTACGCCTACTTGGTCTATGCTGTAAATGTACAGGCAAGTCTCAGGCAGAGTTATAAGTCTTCACAAGGAATTCCTTTCTAGCCAGGCCACTTCAATAGGCAAGAAACTTCCAAATGTCTGCCTCTCAACATATTGGTCTCTCAAAGGATTCTCCTAGATCTAATCATTTAAGGAAATGTTACATTCCATCTCCCTCTTGGAAAATCCCAAGAGGGAGGCTTTGAGAAGCTCTGAATTCAAGAAACACACTGTAATATAACTCCGTATTCTCCAAGTTTGAATACAGCACCCTTTTAGCCCATTAATTCTTTGTGTTTAACGGGACACACTTTGGGGAAGGCTGAAGTGGAGGCGTTCCCGAGGAAAAACAGGGAAAGGGACAGACTAATCCCGTTGTGCACCGAGGCTATGTGCAGGGGAACGAAGAAAGCTAGGGAGGCCATCAGCTTATGGAGACTCGAAAGCCAAGATAAGCATGAACTTCATCAATCCAATGAGCAATGGGAAGCCATGTGAATTCTGGAGCAGGGAAGGGATGAGCCACGTCTTGATACGCTAATTCTTCACTTCTCCTGATCCGCTTCCATAAGGAGGTGGCCAAGAATTCCAAGGCCAGGGAGGGACCTCAGAGGCAATATGACTGAGAGCTGAGAAATACTGAAAGACCAACCAGGGTTAAACTGGCTCTGCAGACGCCATTGCATGGAACTCGAACACTGCCCCTGGTGTTACACAAGGTGGTCTTCCTCTGGACACCTCTGGTTTCCAATCACAGGCATTAGTTTAACAAAACCTACAAGGCCAAACTGGATTCTAGCCATTTAATTTCAAAACTCCTTTTTCATATACCCATTTCGGTGTCATGCCATCCCCAAATAATGGTTTATAATTTCTCCTGATCCTCCAGGTTGGCACAGCTCAGCAGGATGTTTCTTTAGCTTTGTGTGGTCGGCAGGGGTCACTCATGAAGCTGCATCCAGCTGGGAGTATGGAGTCTGGAGTTGCGGTGCTACCGGCTGCAGCACATTAGTTCTCCTGTACATGGTCTTACTCCGTCCAACACTACTCAGTTTAGCTCAAGCTCCTGGTTTGGAAATGTCAGCTGGCTTCCAAGACCAAAAGTGCAAGCTGCCAGAATACCACTTCTGTCACATTTGATTAGTTAAATCAAGTAAAAAGTCCAGCCCACATGGAGCAGCACACACATCCAGAGATGGGAGAAATTATTGGTCACCACCTCTGGAAATGATCTACCATACCTTTTTTTTTTCTGTGAGATAGGAGTACAGGTTTCTAAAAACTTTGGGACCAACTAAATATGAGGTGAGTGGTTTCCAGAAATAAATACCCAGCAGAAAAAGACAGGCTTCTTGGAATGGACATGACTTGCCAAGGATAAAGGTGTTTGTATCGCACACAGAACATCTGGGAAGAGCAATGGAGCCAAAGTTGTGCAACAGCACAGGTTATTTTCTCCACTCCTGGGCACAAGTAAACAAACCCTCAAACCCCCACATGGTGCCAGTGTGTCCTGCATCTACAGGGATTGAACAAGGCAGAAGAGACAAACTGATCTTTCAGCACAAGGGACGTTTTTCACCACTAGGCAGTCCTTTTTTCCCTTCTTAGTGACACTCATTGGCATTCTGTTGAAGATACCACAAAGGAAGTGGGCAATTATCCTGCCCCCATCAGCAGGAAAACAGTCTGGAAGAGGCAGTCATACAAGTTCATAGTAGAAAGTGCTAGGGCAGAACTGGTGGCGGTCCAATTCTGTCATTCCATGATCCCCAGTGAATAGCAAAAGGTGGTTTCTAGAATTCCCAGCACACACCGTGTTATTGAGCGAAGTTTTTACCTTATTCTCTAAACATGCAAAATCCCGCATAGCACTGTGTGTGTATGTATACCTGGGAGGCCACGGGAAGGAAGGACACTAACGAGCCAGTGAACCAGGCCTTCTCCCTCAGCAGTCACTGTACCTCACTTAATGGGACCTGTTACTTGAACCTGTAAAGGTCTAGCTCAGGGCCGTGGGGTGGGGTGAGAGTGAAGGCAGGTAGAAGGCAGGATTCTGCCTTTTCACTGGAGCTTTCTCAAACCAGGGTTTCTTTTACCTCCCCACCTCTACAATCCAGAAATGGATTCAAAGGCTCAATTTCCTGAACTGTAGACAAATGTGTGCCTATCTGCATTATGTAAATTAAAAAAAAGACCCAATGCTTTGATTAGATTCTCAAAAGTTCAGAAGGAAAGAAAAAAGGGTAAGGCTCCCTGCTGAGAGTCATGCCGCTTCATCTTAGCACCTGTCATAACAGCTCTGCTCCTTAAATGTCATTTGGCTTACCGACTGCTCTTCGATGGAGGAAAGAGGCAGATATGTTTATGCTTACCCTTGAAAACTTACTAATATACATCCAAAAAGCTGCTTTTCATTTGTTTCACGTTCCAGGAGGAATGTGTGCTGTAAGCAAGCTGCAGTCTATTTTCTACACTGGCTTCACATGAACTCCATTAAGGCCACTCCTAACCCTAGCCAGGCAATCTGCCCAGAACTGCAGGGACAAACCAAAGCTGAGGA